CTTGTCGAGAATCTGCACTCTGACTCACACAGAAAAAAAAAAAAAATGGAAAGAATGTGTGGCAACTACACACAGGACATGCTTTTTTAATAGTACAAGCTCTGTTAAAGGGAAAATCGGTGCTTTTGTGCTGCAAACAACAGCATTTGCATTTCGAGGGGCTAGACACTATTGCTCAGTACCAACCATGTCAACGATGGCCTTTAGTCCTGGGTGTCAGCTATTCCCATAGTTGAATTTCTGGTTTGGGTTCTAAGTATTCTTGACTAGGAGCCACATCTGTTCTCTGCCCCCAGCCTTGCTGCAGTGACATTCTAAAAGGGAAGAATTATTTTGAGATAATGGGCCCTCTGTAGTGCCTACAGCATTTTCCATTCTATTCCTCTCTCTTAAGTAGTGAACTGCAGTCAGGCAAATGTGGGCACCAAAAACCCTGAACACAAAAAGCAATTCACATTGCCCATCATGTTTTGTGTTCCACAGAGTGTCTCATTTAAAACACATCCCACTAGAGGCCCATTTCACTAAATTGGGCTCTTACAAAATGGAAAAAAAATTTAAAAAGAAGGGGGAAGAAAAGGCAATCCGTCTCCTTTTTTCTATTCTCGACTCCTTTACTGATTGCTCTTTGGAAAAGTTTGTTCTGTGCCTGGCAGAATTGAATTAATCTTCAGTCCACCTTCACCCCAAACTCATCCTTCATCTTGTGAGGCAGCAGTGGGGAGAGACCCACCCCTGCAAGAGGGGCTTGTAGGCACCAAAGGTAACGACCTTACCTTTTCACGGGACAGCACCCCAGCTGCTCCCCGAGCCGCTGTCTGGCTCCAGATTCTGCCCCAGTCACTTTCGAATGCCATGTGACGTGTGTGTTTATTTACCCCCTAACTAAGTGTGAGGCTGAGAAATAAAATTCAGAATAAACAGAATAAATCATAACTGAGATTCATGTGTCATTGATCCATAAATACCTTAGAACGATAAAACCACATGACACTGACCGAGTTCTTCCAGTTTACAAAGAGCCTTCTTATCCAATATCATGTTTGATTCCTGCAGCCTTCTGTGAAGCAGGCAGGGCAAGTTTACTACTCAGGGTTTACAGACGAGAAAAATGAAACAGGGAGGTGTGTTAACTCTCGCAAGATCGCAGACCTTATAACAAGAGGAAGACAGGAACTGAGCTTCTGGTTTCCAAGCCCAAAGAGATTTTCACCACATTTTAAACAGACCCCCCCCCCCAATATCATCACCTTCTGACTGTCTAACTTGTCAGTCCCTTGAAGGTGGGAATTTCAGGTCTGACACTTATTTAGGAGAAGGGTGAACAACCGTCCCCATTTGCCTGGTACTCTTGGTGCTAAAACTGGGACTGTCCTGGGAAAACCAAGATAGTTGTTCACCCCAGCAGGCAGGACTTCTAGCACCAAGAGAGTCTGTTGTCACCACGCTCCCACTCTGCCATCAAACACCATTCTCAGGCAATGGTGCTATTTCCGGAGGACACCTGTACCAAATGCTTTCAGAAAAAAGGAAGATATCCCAAGACCCAGATCTGTTGATGAGACACGTAGGTATCCCTCTGCAGCACTGCCCCAAGAAGGCACCAGTACCAGGCTAATTAAAGAAACAGTCAGTCTGCTCCTTGGAGTGCGTCCTGCACCAGTAACTCTAAAATCATCATGCCCCAGGCAGTCAGAGATCAGCCCTCCCACCTGGCCGGAGGAAGCCCTGTGAAGCCCTGTGACACCTGGGAGAGTGGTGGGTTGAGTAGGAAGGAGAAAAATTAGAGACTTGCCTGTGACTTTTTTCCCCCAGTGACCTTGAGTTCTTAGAGATTATTCATCTTTGATGGGTGAGTTTACTCCACCAAAGAAAGACTGATGCTGTCAATTTTACATTAATTTTGTGCACTAGATGCCCTCCTGCTCAAAACCAAACAGGGCCTATATTCTCTGTGCCTGTGATGCAGAAGCCAGCCTGGTCCATGTTCTGTATATCAGCCCAAATGTGGCAATCTGTGTCAAAACTCCTAAAAATGTTCATACACTTGGACCCAGACAGCAGAGACACATATATTAATAATACTACAATATCAGTAAGTTCAGTGTAGCAGAGATATCATGTTGCCATTCAACTTGGATTGCTGGGGGTTCGGGAAGATCTGAATCTGTCTGGATCGTGGTAGGACCAGCTACAAGAGAACTGGAGTTGTGTTCACTGTTGGGGTTTAGAATGGGGACTGGCATGGTGGTGCTGAAGTCAAGTTCTAGGTTGGGGGTGGTGAGAGAGGTAAACAAGGGGCTGGAAAGTATCCTAGGAAGCAGCTGGGTCAGATGGAAGGAGCCAGGCATGTGGAGTTCAGCCTCAAAGGCACGCTATGGCAAAATGAAGGTTGATATCTTGGCTATGTCCTCACCCATGCTCTGGAGGCACGTGTAAGGGCTGAAAAGAGGGACAGCTAAAAGGGAAAACTATGAGAATCGCTTCATTGAACTCTGTGCTACCTGGGCCCCAGGGAACACTGCCTTGGGAACCTTTAGGGAGAAGGCAAGTCACGTGAAGGAGAGAGTTGTTCTCCAACTCTGCCACAAGACTCTGCACAGGTTGGGCACCATGAGGACCCCAGGTAGCCACTAGCCATGAAATACTGTGCCTGGAGCAGTAGGAGAGGCCATGATTCAGCTCAAGCCATAGAAGGGCCACCCCAATGGCCAAGGCAACTGAGCATCAGGAAAGGTGGAGGGAGGGGACTGTCCCTGCACATGCACACAGGTGAGTCAGCTTCCAAGGATGCAGAGGAAGTCGTCAGGACCTTGAGGGGTGGGGCTGGATTAACTATCACAATGTATAATACAACACACCAAATGTCCAACAGAAGAAGTGGATTATGTTATAGAAGAGAGAACAGAGCCATATGAGGGAATATCATGTAAGCATTAAAAATGGTGCTCTAGTATGGCATTTAATTATAAAAAATTATTATGATATACTAAATTTATAAAAAGTTGGTAATACATGTGTGGATATATACTATATATGTGTACATTCATGTATGTATCATATATATAAAAATATACACACTGACACATAAGGATTCCTCAGACCTTACCAGACAATAAAAAAATAATAAATTTTATCTTCCTGTTTTCTATATGAGACTCTAAGTTCCTTGGGAAGAAGTACTTTATCTGTCTTATTCACCTTGATATTCTTAAAACCCAGAACACATGGCTCATTGTCTACAATCAATAAATGTTTATCAGATAAAATGGATGGCTGTTGCAGCCCAGACTCCTACCTGGATAATTCTTAGAAATTAGGCTGTCTCAAAATACTCCTCAGTAGTTCTCAAAAGTCTCCAGAAAGGGGTTCCATGGAACCCCATCAGGGCCAGCCTCGGCAGCCACCCAGGTCTCCCTCTTTTGTCACACCTACCCTTGCCCTCTGACCGTGAAAGGTCACTGTCACATCCAAAGGTTCACTTCTAATACTTGGAGTGCCAATGCACTACCGGGTTTGATTCAGAAGATGGAAAAATGCCTCCCTTCCCAATTCCGTACCACACTTTGCCACTAAGACCCAAGCAGCTCTGCTTTGCCTAGAAACTGGCAGTCTCTCTTGAGCAGTTGTGTGATTTTTGGCCCTCTGCCTTCTAACCATAAAAGTTCAAATTCAATAAAAGGTTTGGGCAGGGATAGACACTGTACTATACACACCAACCTTTCTGCTCTCCCCATCAACTCCTCTCGCATTAGAATGTGCAAATCGATTCCAGGCAGAGGCAGGAGCATGTTTTCAGCACTAATTGCAACTGGTCCTCAGCTCCACCCGTCAAAAACTCCTGAAGGTGAGATAGAGAGTTAGAGAGAGAGAGAGATGATGAAGCTCAAGGGGCACCGTGAATGACAATTCTCTTTTCTGCAGATGTCTGAACCAGGGAAGAGACAATCTAAAGGAGAAGGCAGACAAAGAAGCCCCAACTATCACCTTCACTGCTGGCTGGGCTGCTCAACTGCTAATTCTCACGTATTGTGGCTTACACCTGTGGGTAAGTGACTTTCCTGATCCTTAACTCCTAACCAGCCAGACTGAACCACATGGCCACCCATAGGCCTCCAGTAAACCTACCACTGAGCTTGCTGCATGACTGAGAGTAAGTGAGACCACACGTCCTGGACAGGAGCACACTCCCACACACAAAGAGAAGTGGGAGTTGTGCTGTTCATAACTAGTTCCTCTTCTAAACTTGCCGATTCAGTAATATTCCACCTCCCCGGGAGCCAGGCAAAGGCTAAGATAAGCACCACCTAGGAGTACTGTGGTTAGGGCGTGTTCTTCAACATGGGAAGAAGCATCAGGAATAAGAAATAAATTTCCTCCTGGTGACAGAGACAGAGACAGAACTATATGAAGGATAAAGATGGTAGGTCAATAGTCGTTATTCTTGGGTGCTGCAATTATGGGTGATTTTTATTTTCTTCCGTGTGTGTGTGTGTGTGTGTGTGTGTGTATGTGTGTGTAACTTTCCACATTTTCTAAATGTAATAAATTTTAACTCAAACTGGAATAGAAAAGTAATTATTTGGAGTAGTATATCAAATAAAACCATAAAGGGAAAGTAAAAAAGAAAGAGCATCCCACAGCCATCCCAGCTCCTGCCTGGAAGACACACCTATTGCCATCCGATGGCATCTCACCTGGGTTGGTGGCCTTTAGAAAGAACCTACTTACATCACAGAAAGAAACTTTAGGTTTCAGGCTCAGGGAAGGAAGTGACTCAGAAAATTTCAGGCTGAGGACTAAAAATGCAGCAAGAAATTGTCCACGTGAAGCTCTCCAAAGACATGATGAGAGCCCAGTGACCTTCTCTAATCACTTTCTGCAGATTCCAGAGAGAATAAATGGTTGGCCAGACTGTAAATCTATAGGGAGACGACTCTTACCAACTCTTACTGGGTATGAGGATGTGGGGTAAGGAGAACCCCAGTGAGGGGTGAGAAGAACCTGCAACACTATGTCAGGAGCACAGAATAGCAGAGCTGGGAGAATCCTTGCAGAATGGAGAGAGCCTGGTGTTCAGCACCCTAAATTCACTGTTAAGGAGACAGAGAATGGGGAATCCAGGGGGTCGATGAAGATTCTACAATTCTTTAGGGGCATAAGAGTATCTTCAACTTTTCTTCCTCTCTTTCTCAGTTACCAATTATAAATGGCATGTTGCCAAAAGTAGAAGAGTCTAAAGGGATCGTTGAAAGGAAGTCATCTGGGCTTGACAACACCCTCTTTATAAACACGACCAGTTTTTATGACCCACAGAAGGGAGCCTAGGAGTAAAAGTTACGCCATTGCACAAAGTATGATCACTGGGACTCTGCTTCCACGGAATAGCTGTAGGTATTAATGGGAAAAGAGGACTGAGGGAATGGCTTTGGGAAACACTGGGTTAAACGGTGTTTCAAATTGACTCCTGACTGTGAATACGTTTGTGAATCTGCATTTCAAGTGTCTATGACCATAGAAACTCCATTCATCTTGAAGGCCAAATGTTATACAGATATAATTTGGGTAATGCTGAGATACAGGGTCACTGCCTTAGGCAGAATCCATGATTTATTCAGAACAACCATGGCTGGGTTGTCTGTGGCTGTGGCCTTCCATACTGTACCCTGAGCCTTTTCTGAGACAGTTAAAAACTCTACTCAAGAAAGTTTTCATACAGTAATCTGCTATCTGGGACTGTATGCCTGTTTATTTTCATTTTGCTAATTCTTTTCCTCCATCATCTGTAATTCCAAATTCTTTTTTTTTTTTTTACATTGTGAAAGATACAATGAAATGTCTTCCTAAAACTTCAGCATTATTTTTATCACAAGCTTCTTTTTTGTTGGACTATAGAACTATACCAAATAAGACCAAAAAGAAAATCAGTAATGTCTAACAGAAGATCCTAGGCAGGAAACAAATCAAACAACCTCGATTTGAACAATATCTGTTCAAACGTTTCTAAATGACAGCACTGCAAGAAAATATGAGCTATTGATTTTATGATTTTGATTGCTTTTATATTTCAAAAAAATATGTTCCCTTGTCAAATTGGAGTTTGAAAAGGCATCTGTCGCTGGAATAAACCATGGTGCCTTTAGATACAACGTTGTATGGAGACAAGTAGGTGGCAAATGAAATGCTATATAGACAAACAATCCTGTGTGCAGACCTTGCTGTGAATGGGCTGTTTTCTTAGCAGTTCCCAAATACCCAATCAAGAAATATGCTTAACATTGATCTCAATTATCATTAGAATCTGCAGTGCCAGCAGCTAAATCAAGGTACAAAGAAAAGTCAAGGGTAAAGTGACAAGACCTACGTGTGAACTGGAGAGACATGATCACTAGAGTCAAGAGTATGTGTTGGTGAGGCCACTTAATGACAAAATGCTTTCCTTTGTTTCTAACCTATTTCTAGGTATAGGAATACTCTTGATGAATGTGATCAAAAATATATTTATAACAGCTTTGCATAAGTTCTTAGAAGTCATCCAAACTGTCAGAAGTGTGTCACTCTTAGTAAAGACTATTTAAAACTTAGCACATACAGTCTTTGATATAAGATCCTTTTCTCTCTGTGAGAAAATAGCACAATTTCCTTCCCCAAACTAAATTCCCCAAATGAGTGGTACCACAGAGAGAAACCCACTGCCAGTGAATCCAGGGCCACAAAGAGAAGTTATGTTCAAGAGTTTGTGTGTAGGCAAGTGTGTAAAACACACTTTAGATTAAACTCTGGCACACATACAGCAGGGAAAACAATTAACACATGGATTCAATGTATTAATATGTCTCTACCTCCAAATTTGATTCTTTTATTTTCATTTTGTGTTGCTTAAATAACATGTCCTACTGTTTCACGGTCACCAGTGAGAGAACATTGGTCTTTATGATCTACAAACCTTCTATTTCATAAACAGGAGCCCATCTTAGCAAATACTTTCTCAAAAAGCCGTAATTAAGGAAATCTTTATCCTTGTACATGGAAATGTTCATAGAAACATAATTAATTCATTTCTTAAATTCTTCTCCCTTGCTGTGAAAATTAGTCTGCATTGGCTGTTTAGAAAGGGTTTTAATTTTGCAGGGGACAGGGGAGGAGTAGGTGGAGCCAGCACTGCACAGAGGGGTGGGGGTGGTGGCTCTTTCAAAGCGACAGGCTGGAGCAATAGCTGTAATAGAGGAGAGCTCTGGGGAGAGGAAAATATGGGCATAGCAGGCAAGTTCAAGGCAAGACCCCCTTCCCTTCGCTCTACACTTCCCCATCCCCATTCAGGCTATGCTGTCAGACACTAGGTGTTTCCTGCACTCCAACATTCACAGAAAAAAAGTTTTTTACAATTAACTATAAAGTGACAATACTACATCACAGCAGATACTTTATATGAGATAAAGTGGAGGGGGGAGGTAATATATATACACTATTATATATAATTTCTCCGGGGTAAATGAAAGGCATGAACCTCCACAGCCAAGATGGGCAGGGAAGGGTTTGGGGATCTTGCTGACATGGCTTTGAGCAAGAGGAACTTGAAGCAAGGCTCTTAGACCTCTGTGAGATCAGACCGGGCTTTAGGCGGGATAACCCAAGACACAGGGTGAAGTTTCAGGGAAGCTGGTGGGCTCACCTGGGAGTGACCCATGGGGACTGCTGGGATGTCACCTGTCAGGGGCAGAATGTGGAAAAGGCCAAAGTTTAGCAAGTAAACGTGAGACCCTGTGAGCACAAAGAGAGTAAAATACAGACATGGGAGAGAGAGCAGAAAAGGCAAGAAACAAGCCTGGGAGGGGAACACAAGGTGCATTTGGGGTGGGGAGTGGAGGAGGATATGCATCATTCTCATTTATGGAATGAGAATTCCACCCTGGAAATTTGAAGCCAGTTAGTCATTCCTGAAATTCCTGATCCTGGTGAACTTCTCCACAGGAAGACAGGGCCCATCTCCATGTATGTGGGTAATAGTCTCCTTTTCTGGGCATTTTATTTGCTGTGATAAAATGCCTTATTGCCTTCGCCTCCATTAAACTGCAGGACTCAAATTATGTAAGATTTTAGGGTACTCCATTCATACCAGGACAAGTCAAAAGCCGCCGTTACTGTGTTTCTGTGATACAGATACATTTCAAAACAAAACATGAGCCATGCCCTTGCATTTTGCGAAAGTGGATCCTATTGAATCGTGAATAAGTTTACACAGTCTTTATCACTCTGTTTTAAAGATGTTTTCATTTTGTTTTGGTCCATGTCCCAAATCGTATTTTGTTTTAGACTTCTGCTCATTTTCTTTTGCTTGTGAAGAACTACTTAAGGCCGGGTCTCCATTTCCTCAAACATTCTGGTTAAAAATGAATTATTGATTGGAGAAAAAGTAATCCTATCATCCTGGATGCCTTGTTTTCTTCCTTGGTTCTGGCCGCCTGTTCACCACCAGCTCTTTCCAGCCTCTGTCTGAGAAGCAAATGCACCAGGTCAAAGGCAGAAACAGAACTCGGAGCAGGTGGGATGGGAGAGGAAATGGGAAGGGCGCGGTGCTGATGGAGTCCTACCAAGATGGTGTCACGACAGGAATTGGCCGTGGCAGTCAGAAAGATTCTTCCATGTCAAGGCTTATGTGGATAATGGCTGGTAAAAGATTGATAGAAAAGGTTTTAATCACCGGCAGTCAAAAAAGGACTAAAAGAAGAATCAAAAGCACAACATTTGACTGCAAACTCTTTGGCTTTGAGCCTCAATAGAAAACCATGCTAAAAGTTTGAGATAGTCTGTGTGAAATATAGTTTTGAAAAAAGAGTAATTTCTGTTTACAAGCTGGATAAACTTGGATAACACAGAGATACTCTTAGACTGAGTCATACACCAGGACAAGGATGACTAGAATTGACCATCAGAAAGAAACAGAAAACAGCCAGGAAGAAACCTGAAGCTGAGTGTTTTGTTTTTCCTTGTGTAGAACAAGTTCACCAAAGGAAACGAACATTTTGCATTAAAGAGACAGTCTAGAAATGAAATAAAATACTCACAAGTCCTGAAACTATTCAAGGAGCCCTGAGAGACCCCCATCAGCGCGAAGTGTCAGAAATTGACCTGAACATTGAGAACATGCCAAGCAGCAGTTCTCAATCTCAGATGGTCATGGGGTGGGAAGTTCTTACTCTGGAAAGAGAAAAATTGCAGCCATTGGGAATCTATGGGAGCTATCATTGAGTCATTTTGATCCTAGAAGCAACATGGCTGCATTTCCCAGTGATAGGAAATTTAAAAAGCAAACATTTTGGATGTTTCGTTACCAAAGATTTGGGCTCAGGCCAATACCAGTGATATATCAAATACCAGTGATGTCAAAGACTCAAGTGCAACATGATCTCCAAGATCCTGCAGCCAAAGATGCCTGCGGTCCAGTGTTGTCAGGAAAAGCATCACAAGAGTTGGCAGGAGGTCATGAAGTCCACTGTGGCCTGGACAGGGGGTCAGCCAGGAAGGCTGAGTTAGGAGGATAAAGGTAGGAGGTTAACTCTAATGTGGTCCTGTAAAATAATTCTAGAAACAGTTTTAATCCCATCTATTTCTATAGACCTTTACCGATAGAGACCTTTAAAATGCATTTTTTATCTCATTTAATTTCTGCAATCAAAGGACCTGGCTTCGAATTCAGTCTTTACCAATTCTTAATCACGGTGATCTGGGGCCAGTCACCTCTATGAGCTGAAGCCTCCCCATCTGTGAAACGAGGATAAGAAAAATATGGACTTCCAAGTATTACAATGAGATAACAGATAATAAAGCAAAGCTTTTCACACAAGCCCTGAAAAATAGTAAGTACTCTATAGATTTCGTATAGTTTTGAAAAGTTATTAATAGACCTCACACTACACCCGTGAAGTGCCCAGAGCAGATATTACCATCCCATGTTACCAGTGAGGAAACGAAGAAAACTAAAGCTCAGAAAGTGACTTGCCAAATATTGTGAATGTGCAGACCCCCAGAGAAGTGAGAAGATAAGAGGGCTCTGAACAGTGGCATTCTGGAGTCGTGTATCCTCGTGTTTGCACCCCGTCACAGCGGGGGAAAGGTCAGAGGAGTAAATGAGTTTCAGATTTTTAAGCCAAAGGGAAATCTTGACAGAAACTCTTCCAATGTTTTCCTTGCATCTCAGAGGCAGGACCATTCTGATTCTCACCTGGGAAGCTTTAAGTTATGTGGTCAGGAGGCTCTCAGGAGACAGCAGGGTCCAAAAAAGGTAGGGGATGGTGTTGCCCCTGGGAGAAAGGTGTACGCCGGCAGCCTGGACGCCCCCCCTGGTGCACGTGGTGGTGCATGGCGAGGACCCACTTTCACACGTCAGCAGAGCCAAGGGCACATGGCTGCCCTCTGGTCAAAGCTGTCAGCCCATACCAGGAACTGTGGACTTTCTGGAACCCCTGTGAACTGACTCATTGTGGAGACAGCTGAGAACTTACTCCTTAAAGCACCCGAAACTGGATGAACTATTACTGTTACCATTGTAATGAAAACGTGTGAATGGGTCACAGACGTTGAGTCCATGGAGTGTGACTGGGCCTTTCCTTGGCAACGCGAGGGCATCCTAATGAACATCCGTGATGACACTGGGTTGTACACACTCATCCTCCGGGGAAATTTTGAAGCATGTTAGAAAGAAGTTTCCACTAAACTAAATATTTCCAGATTACTGACAGGGCTTTCTTAGCAGTTCTCTGTGCTTCATGTCATATTATGTTTGTCTTGTCTCTTACCTTTAACACTATCTTGCCCTTGCTTGTCTATATCTAGCTTTTGTTCTCTCCAAACCCCTTTAATTTACCTTTTCTCATCTACTATAGACAGCCAAGCTTTGTAAAATAGGTTGTAAAATAAATATAAATAACACTTTTAAAGGGTAAATTTTATGATATCTGAATTCTATCTCAATAAAGCCATTTTTAAAGCAATTGAAAATGATAAATTCTTACAAAAGGGGAGAAATCACATCACTCTGTTTATATTGATAATAAACTATTTCACTCTTTTATTTAAAAATAAAAAAGCCCAAATAGGCTCTGACTGAGGATTTAGAATTCCTCCAGAAGTAATATGCCTAAGAGTTAATGTACGGCCTTGGAGACATCTATTTTTATTTACTCAGGTGCTTTTTTTGGCTTAGGTCTTAATTCTGTAAGTGTAATTAATTTTAGTAAGATGTAATATGACAGTAGGTTCTTTGATTAAAGCCTCGTCTCTATCCTTGGCCCATTCATTTGCCATTTTTAGATGGCCTACTACGTGTCAGGCCCTAGTAATAAACATGCAAACCTAAGCAACTCATGAACAAATAAATCCTAGTGTGGCTTTTTAGGTGTGGATTTCTAGGAAGTATAAATTTTACCTGCTTCCTTGATTTTTTTTTCCCCACAATAACTACATGGCCCCTGAATCCAATCAGTCCCCAGAGATGCATCATAACCAGCCAACTGGGAATCCAGCCCATTGTTGGAAAGCTGGCCCATAGAGTGGGGATGCCTGAACAGAGAAAAATGCTGAACAGTATTCAGAGAGCTACTTTCAGTTGTTGCATTCCCTAGTACTTTTCCACGGAGCATTTAGAACCTTGTTACTCAAAGTATCATTGCTGAGAACAGCAGCAGCAGCAGCATTACCTGGTAGTGTGTGAGAAATACAAAATCTGAGGCTCCACCCAAGACCTATTAAATTAGAAGCAACCTTTTAACAAGATGCGCAAGTGATTCATATGCTCATTAAAGTTTGAAAAGCACTGATCTAGATACTATTGCACACTAGCATGCCTGAAACACCTGGCACTTCACCCACTGCAATAACCATGGCTTTTAGAGCCCTTAAATGAATATTGCCCAATGGGAGAGGCCACCACTTGACACAAAGGAACATGCCACAGCCAGAGGTAGAGATGGTCTTGGTGATGCTGCACAGATATTCAGCATTTTTGTTGAAAAGTCAGAGATTATTGCTGTTCTCTTCACTATGCCTGTCAGGTCCAATAAATCTTCTTCAGTGACTCACCTCTTCATACACATGCATTGCAATTTTCTTTAAACATCAGCTTGTCAGCGTCATTCAAAATTAGATCTTTCTCCTTTCTTGCAAAACTTCATCCATATTTCCGGAAATATCCCCAAGTTCAAATTCAACTCTAGTTTTCCTAACCCCATTTCATTCATCCACTCAGTCACTTGAAAAGTACTCAGTGAGTGCTTACTAAATGTCAGGGACTGCCAATATCTTCTGCATTTTCCATTTAGTGACCACCATGGAATTGTTTGTATTCCTCCTATGCCAACCAGCTTGCTTGCTTTCCTTTAATACTTAGTTTCTGCTTCTTACATTATACTAGAAATAAAAGTAGAAAATATGGCCTCTATCCTTAAAGAACTAATACTACAACTGAGATACAGAATTTTGAAATAGGCGAAGAGCAAATTTTCAAGCCCATGAAGAGATGATATGTGCTATACTAGAGCGGGCTCTGGATTGTGCATGAGTCAGCAGTCCATTAACCCACTTCAGGATCCTGGATAAGTCTCTTTGTCCCTCTAATCTTCAGTTTTCTCGACTGTTTAAAAAAATGGTGTTAGACCATTTAATCTCAAAACAATTCCTACTAGTCTCCAACAACTCAAATGCCCAAAGATGGCATCCTAACCACATACGCTTACATAAATGCTGAGAGAATTCAAGGAAAGAAAAGCAGCATGGGTTTGGATTAGTGAGACTGTGTATCATCACAATTAAGAGCCCTGGTTTTTATATCAGACCAATCTAAACTCAAATCCCTGATCTATAGCTTAAAACCTTTGAGGCCTTGACAAGTAACTTAATCTCTCTGATCCTCGGTTTTCTCATTTGTATAGTGGGGATAATAATAGTGCCTACTTTGTAGGATTATCATGAGGATTAAATGGAGCAATTCACGTGAAGTCCTTAGCACAGTGCCTAACATGAAGGGTGTGCTAAATAGTTGATGATGGTGGTGGTGATCATGATGGTTGCGTTTTTAGGAAGATATTTGTGGAATACAAAGACCTTTCCAGTAAGGATAGACTTCAATGCTGGGTTGGAGGAACTGGCCAGATATGAGATGAACTACAAGGGACTGAACAACTGGCATCAGAGAAGCAAAAGGAAGGAAGAGTAAGAGGTAAGAAAGTGGGAATACAGGTACATCGATAGACAACTTGCTGACCAGAATTCATGATGATGGGAACACCTGATTTGACAGAAAGAGCTAAATATGATGAAACATTACTCAGAATAGCACCTGTGTCATCTCCATGCAGACAATGAGGATTTGAGAGACTCAAGGCAGGGAGACTAGCCAAGAGCCTACAGTCACCCCTGGGTAAAATGCTGACATCTAGACAACAGGGCAGAAAGGCAGAAAGAAAAAGTAATCCTCTGGAGCACCCCGGGGTTCTCTTCAAGGTATCTCCCCCAAGAAATTCCTTTTGGTCTCCTCTACACAAACGTTTAGTGTTTCTTCCCACCCCAGTTAAAACTGGAGGCAACATGCAACCATGCCCATGTGCCTGGAAGGTATGTGAGGAGCTGAGATCACACCCTGTCTATGCGTTCTGAGTCAGAGAATCCCGTAA